CATTTACTTGGCATCATTACTGATACGTTTCATCCATCGAGTATATAACCAGAAATATATACTCGATGGTTTCATCAGACCATCTATTAGTCGGTTTAAATTATTGGTATTACTAGTACATATTTTTTTAAATTAAAATATATATAATCTGTCTGTGTAAAAAATTATAATCAACGAAGAAATGCAACCGTTCTAGGTTCCGATTCTTGTCATAATCGATAAATTCGTGCGCTAAAATTAAAAATTATTAAACAGCGTAGGATGCGTACAAGTTTGTAATTTACAACCTTGATTTAGTTATTTTAATATAATATTTGTTGTCTTGCGAAAAAAATTTGAAGAACTATTTTTCACATACATAACAAACAAAATCTGCAAAGTAAATAAGAGGGATTTTCTTTTTTTTTTCCTATAAAAATTCAGTGCTTCCAGTGAAAAAGGGAATAACTCAAAAGTCGACACTTTTCAGGAGAGACAAAAAACCATACTTTTATCGATAATTTTTTTGTTCCCATTTATTATTAGTACATTTTATGATTTCTAGTTTTAGGTAACCATCTAAGCCTTCGTTTGCTGGGTATTGGTGAAACATCCATACATATTTTGTAGATTTTTAAAATTTTTCGATTTGCATCCTTGATTATGAGTGCTTAACGGTAATAACACAACTTATATTAACAAACTTTAAGACATAAAACGACTTATTCCCTTAACTGCGACTGTAGTAGTACAGTAGTAACTGTATAAGTTGTAACCGTAGGGTTACAACAATACTTATGATATTAACCACATTGATAAGATATAAAATCGTTATAGGAATAAAACGAAAAGATTTCTGTTGCAAAAAAAAAAAGCAACACGGTATAGTCGCGGGTGTGACCAATCGTGTCTAGTGTAACAAACGGAAAGCTCAGTTATACCTTTATATACACTGTGAAATAAGGGAATAGTGTTTTTATGTAAAAATTTGTTAGACTTGCACATATTTTTTTGAGTTAAGAGCACAAGTGCTCTTACCTTTACTCTTAAAAAATGCCCGATAACTTAAATTACGCGTTTAGAAACAGTGAGTTATGCCCTTAGTGTAAAAACGATGTTAGGAGACTGCTAGAGAGATGTCCTTTTGATATGTTACGTAATCGGACACGCTGAAGCCAATGGTGCAATAAAAACAGAAGGGCATAACTCGTCTTATTCCGTTTTTCACTGGAGGCACTGAAGTATTATCCAATAATTTTTAAGGAATCGTAAATGTACTTGATTAAATATTACTATTTTGTATCTTTTGTGTTTTCAAAAGACAATATTATTATTAGACACATGAAATTAAAATGCTTATTCTCTTTTTATTTCTCTTGACTGGAAATAGAAAATGCATAAGTATATAAAAAGATTGAGGATATTAAAAATCAGTCGCAGCGTTTCTTATTGTTCGACTTTAAAGCTCGCATTAAAATCATGTTAATTTTTCTTAAAAGCAATGACAATTGCAATAGCGAATAAGAAGAAATTTTGTTGCGCGTCATTTTAAAACTAACTGCTAAGTGTGGGGCCCTGCTTGGCAGCACGCATTAGCACCGCGTACATACCAATCGTGTGTGTATTTATATTATAGCACACTAGATGATAAAGCGTGCCTTACGGCACCCAATATACCACTTCTATGAGCGTCTAATTTGAAGGTGCCCTTAGTATGGATGCAGTAGCTAGATGCGCACATGTGAGACTTTAGGCTCAATTTACATTGCGGCGGAACGCAATGGAATGGCAGCGTCAATTTTGCTGCGCGAGAAGCCACGCGCGGTCGCTGGATTGCTCGATCATTCCAGAGGTATTTCAACTGCCACCGTGGCCGGACGGCTACCATGCCGGACTGCCACGCAGAGGTCCCAGGTTCGATTCCCGGGCCGGGAGAAATATTTGTATGGCCTACATTTACTTATCTCGTGAGTTTGGGTGCAATTTGTGGTTGTCTATGCGTGTGTCCATAGCACCCGCGGCACAGAGTTTCCCTAGTGCGGGGCTATGCCAGCCTTCGGGCCGCTTCTCGCGGATTCGCCGACTGCAGCTGCGGAATTCTCGAAATTCACGAATGCGCGAAAATTCCGCGGAAGTCGCGCGACGAGATTTTTGGCTCCTATCTAGTTTGTACGTTACACATTCGGCCATAACGTTCATTGCGCTACGTACAATATGGTTACAAAAATTCGCTTCCATTCCGTCCCGCCGCAATATAAATTGAGCCTAACCTTAATTCTCTAACTTTTGATCAGTCTTTATGACGTTTTTTAACATATTCCTATTATATTTCGTAGTTAAAACATCAAAATACTGATTACAGATTAACCAACTTACCTGTACTACGAGATGTGGCCGTGTACGCAATTTTGTTAGTAGGTAATAATATGTTTTTAATGTGGTAGCGTTTGTTTTTCTTATTACTCCAGTACTGATACATTGGTCTGTCTGCACAATGATAGCAAGCGTCGATGTCGAACTTATTCGCAAGTCCATAACTTATAACTTTATTTTTGTTTAAAACGATAAGTAGTATTGTTAAAATATTATAGATATTTGAATTAGTTTAGGTGAAAACAGCACGAATCGAAAATCAAAATAACATAAAGGCTTCCACGGGCATATCGATATGAACATTTAGTAGTAAAAAATCGATTAAAACGCGTAACACAATAAGCTATTATCTACTATCAATATCACAGCAGATGCAAAGCTTACGATATCGATTTCAGTACGTTTTAAAAAAGGTTCGTAAGTTTCAACAGCCGGAATTTTCTGGTTATGTACTCGATGGCCGGAATTGACACTAATGTTTCAAACACGCAATGACAGGTTTATGGCCTGCTTGTGTTCCGCGATGTTCTCCAAAGTTAATGTCCCGGATGTTAAAACTTACACCCAATAAAACAGTCATTAAAAATTTGCGGTAAAATTTATATTTTATCATAGAGCCTCATTCACAATATTCAGAGGCTGTTTCAATCAATTCACATTTAAAATATTCAAAAAGGAATTTATTGAAAAATCAACGTAATAAATTTAAACAATCAATGGTATTAATTAGTTAAAAATTAATATATAACTACATTAAACAAGATCTAAACACAACCTAAATAATTTTGAAACTAATCACAACTTTTTTCATTTACTTTGCACCCTTGCCAGTCACTATTTTACACATACTTCTTAAGGGTAGTAACACGTTAAAACAGTTTCCGCTAGAACTCATTTTATATCGGTTTGTGTTTGTCTTTTTTTTTTTTTTTTTTTTAATATACATGACAGGCAAATGACTCCACTCCACCTGATGTTAAGTGGAAAGTGGTATCCAAACGCGAAGGAACCTAGTGCAGCGATGAAACCCTCACTATAATTATAACCCCCCAAACGCAAAAAGCTTTAACTACGCCGAACAATGTCGCCAAAGTTCTTCTCGAAGTGTTACTACCCTTAAACTCAATATACATATACAAGAGATGCTTTTTGGAAATTTCGGCTCCCTAAGCAGGGTATTAGCGAGTTGTAACTGTAAGGGCGCGTTCCCATTATGTCGTGACGACAGATAGTCGTACAGTTTAAAGTGTCGTGGCTTGTATATTTAAATGAAGTTGTTCACATATAGCACAACACGACTAACTGTCGTTCACGACTTTTTTGACGTTACGACGACAGTTTGCCTTGACAATGGAAAAAGCTAGAACGACAGTCATCTGACGATAAATAAAACGTCACAATACAAATGTGACGACAGATAATCGCAGCTACAAACGATTCTGTCGTGCAAACGACAAGGCGGCTGCCGTGAACCGATAAATTGTCGTCACGATCTATTGGGAACAGCTAGATACGACAATCGTTCAACGATAAAATAAATGTCCACGACACTGTCACGACATATAGTCGTGATATGGGACCAGGCTAGACGCGACAGTCGTCCAACAATAGTTAACACGTTCCGACATAATG